TCTGGCATTGCAAATTCTCTCTGTGTCTTCTTTATTTCAATCTGACCCAAATTCACACGCATTGCATTGATGTGTTTCACGGTTGGAATTACCTGTGTCCTAATGTCTGTAATTCTGCATACTTGCGAGGCATTTCCCAATGCATCCGAGTGCTTCTTTAGACAGTGCGAGCGAACAATGGTGTAAAATCAATGTAGTAGGTATAACAGGAGCAATTACTTTGGATGTGATTCTGCTCACTTGAACGACTGCTGTGAGGCATTTTTGGGAAGTGCAAATCATTCTGCTGGCGCCATTTCCGCAGTCATCGGTTAGTTGTGACATGAACCACTTTCTGGTCATCTCACCTATTCACTCTTCAACAAAAGTAGTACTCATGATCGTCGAGGCTGCCTGTCTGCACTGAAATGGGACCTAATGCCATGTTGTGATGGCATTGTCGGCTGTCCTGTCGATCCAACTTCTTCAATATACCTGTGCGCGAGACATAGTGCGGAGAGGTGTCGGTGGATCGGTCACATTTGACCATGAATGACAGAGTAAGCATGTGTTGAGAAATCAAACCTTTGTTTTGAAGAGTTGAGTGGAAGTTGAAAGGTGGTTAATTGACTGCTAGTCGGTGTTTGGCAATGGAGCAAAATGTGACAGTTTGGAGGGCAACTGATGCACACAGCGCAGAAGCCCGTCACTTGACGGGAACTGTTCTCCGTACCAGCATGACTGTCGGTGATGAAATGGCTGAGGCCCCGAAAGACCTGAATTCGCTCACCTCAGGGCATTTGAAGACCGAGATTACCATTTGCCAAAGGTGAAATTTCGACAATACCAAATTAGTCGCCAGTGGCTTTGGTGGTGATTGCGGAAGGGAGAGGACAGGTAGATATTTTGTTTGAGTGAATGAAATGCAAACAAGATTTCACATTCTTCATATTTTCCACACTCTAAATAATAGCTTTTGAAGCTGAGTATTTACGCACAAAAGCATTTTGTCTGATCCGACTCGCCCAGCAACTTGTGCGTTTTCGGTGATGGTGGCGTTCAAATGAAATGAACATTAACGAGCAAAGCAGCATCAAACAGAGAACCTGCAATGCGGTCACTGCGACCGACTACCCGATAATGGTATTAACAACAGGAACAGCACCGAGAAATTAACCTCTCTGCTTGCTCTATTTCACTGGGAGTGAAATGCTTCATGAGTACAAATGCCCTACAATGCCCGCTGGATGTTGCCTGCTATTGGAACGAAGTGAAATGTTTGCTGTTTGCAAAGGTGAGGAAGGAGAGGGGAGGAGGGCGCGAAATCCGACCACTAACTAGTGTAACGTCTTGAAAGTCTTCGCAAAGGAAGGGAATCTCATGCTCTCTTGAAGAAGAGGGAAAACGCATCACCAGCATTTCATTGGTGGTTTTAACGCGCTGCCTGCAACGTATCAAATGCAAGATGGGAGTGGGGAGATGTGGATGGACTTGTCGCTGAGGGCTCTGTTGGGGGCAAGTTAGTGGTTAGGAAAATCACTCTGCCAATATCGATGACAGGATACTCTGTCGACATTCGACGAATGAGTTTAGCATGAGCGGAATGGTGTAGGGATGCGACTATCAACAGAGAGATGGGAGAGTCAACTACGTGGCAACGAAATCTACCACATCTTGCATATGCTTCATTGCTCCACATGACTAACCACCAGTTCATTCCTTTCAATCACCAAATTCTTATGTGGCACAGTTTGACTTACCTCTCTAGGCTCTCATGTCAATAAAAATGCATGCGAAGCCATGTTTTCCACATGAATTTTAGTAAAGATGGCAAGGGGAAGTAGAAAGACCTCTCAGAATGATATAGCTAACTTTGGCAGAGGTGAAAGCTATCCTTGTCGAAGATAGCATTTGAATGACACTTATTTGTCCATTGGAAAGTGGTAAATGAGCACACATGGACAGTGGTAGAGTGGTGTCATCTTCAATGATGCCTGTGTATGCATATCCAGAAACCGTCCAAGCATGCTTCCTAAGTCATGGCAACTCTTAATAAAACTCAATTCTGTTTCCCGAATCGCAATCACTGACTTGGCTATTTTGGGTCACACTAAGGCAACTGATGTCCAAGGACGACCATATTTAGTACAAAACTGAACTCTTCCTTGAATGCTGAACTAACTCCGCATCACCAATTTCTCTACCTACGTCGCGTACACTTCCACTGCAGCGGTTGTGCAAATTAACCACTGGGTGCCTTGCCTCCCTTCATTCTAGCGAGTGGATGCTCACGCTGTCACTGTAGAGCAATGCAAAGTGTGCTGTAAAGACGGAGGGCTCAATTATCCCACACACACAAATCGTGCATTTCAGTCACGCAAACAAATATCTTCCACGCTGTCTGGCCTTAATATCTGTGTTAGTGGAAGCAACTTTGGATCTAGGATCAACCGTGCCCCGTGGTCACGACCTCATCACACGCATGTTGATCAGTGGTGCGGATATAACAGCAAGACCGCCCATGAGGGCTACAAATGACCTCAATCCTGGCAGACAGTCTTGACTGTCTGCATTTCGGCTGAGCCGGTCATAACCCACCAGCATTTCGCTTATCCATAAGCCCTACTTCTCACACGGCTCCAGGTTCGTGTACACCTCGAACAGGTGTCGTTTCTGGAGGCATTTCACTCCTCTCTTCTGGTCAGGCATTGTGCGATGAAACAACCACCCTATTGCGGGTAACATTGTGACATTCTGCTTCAAATATTTGGAACATGAGGATCGGTTGGCAGAAGACGTTGCGTATCATTGGGAAGTGGAATTATGCAAAGCATCGCCTTCATGGCTTTTACCTCCTTCCATGAGGATCGACGCTGTCTCTTCGGTGAGGAGATATGTCCAATCAGGCGGCTTCTCACCTACAAGATGGATTCAAACAAACACGCAATGCAGTTTGTTGTCAATATATTTAGGCTGGTGGGAAACGCTGCCACCACGTATAAATATGTGTTTTTGCCAGAAGCACGTGTTAAGCATCCAAAAGACTTAGTTTTGCCCTGTGCATCATTTGCCCTCCAAATTGTCACATTTTGCTTCAATTCCAAACGCCAAATTGTAGCGACTTTAACACCTTTCAAATTCAGCTCTAACTCATTAATACAAACGGTTGCTTTCTTGGCACTAGTTTAGTCCGTCATCCGTGGTTAAATTTTACCTATTCACTGGCACCTCTCCGCACCATGTCTCTCGATGCCGGATCGGCAGGACGGCCGACAAATGCTAACACAAAATGGCATTGGGTCGAATTTTAGTGCAGATAGGCAGCTTTGATGGTCGTGAGAATTACTTTTGTTGAAGATTGAATGGATCAGATTAACGGAAAGTGAACCATGTCAAAACTAGCCAGTGACTGCGAAAATGATTTGCACTTCTCAATAACACCTCACCGCTCTCATAAGTAAGCCGAATCACATCCAAAGTAAATGAACCCATTAAGCCTACCATAATTTTATGCAAGTGTTTGCCTTCATCATTTAGAGAAGCATTGCGAAATACTTCTCACATGTGCAGAATTACGGACTTTAAAGCAGGAAATTCGAATGGTGAAACTCAGCGATGCCGTGAGTGTGAATTTGAAGCCGATTACAATAATGACAGCTCAGAGAGAATATCGAATGCCAAA